CAGGAAAGGGCTGTGCCAGAAAAGGGCTGATCTGGCAGGGAAAGTGGTGCTGAAGCTCCTTATCCATGGCTCTGGCTCACCAAGAGCAGGTCCTGTGGTACAGAGTTCATGGAGGGCTCGTTGCAGGGATGTGCTTGGGGCTCAGGGGTGCTGGGTGTCCAAGGGCCAGCAGGTCCCAGACTGGCACTTGGGTCAGGATGGAAAAGTGTCCTGCCATGGGAAGCACAGGGAGGGGGTCAGTGTGTCCTGCTGGGATCAGAGCTGGCTGTCACTCTCTGCTCCAGGCTGAGTGAGGGCCCTCTGCCCCAGCAAAGGGATCCCCCAACCTTCCCTCGCTCCTGGTCCTGCAGAACCCCGAGTTTGTCCTCTCAGCTGAGCATCCCTGGCTCCTCCAGCAGCCCCGGTGCCCAGCCCAGCTCTCTGTTGAGCTCCTTTCAGCCAAAGAAACTCCTTTCCTCCACAGGCACTTCTCTGGCCAAACCAGCAGCCATTGGAGTGTCTGCTGCTGCTTTGGGTTTTTGCACTCTGAATTTTGGGGTGGAAAAGCCTGGGAGGCTCCTGGAGCAGGGCTATCCTGTGTGCCTCAGGATGGCTGCTCTGTGTCCCTTGGGGTACCTGCTCTGTGTCCCCTAGAGTACCAGCTCTGTGTCCCCAGGGGTGGCTGCTCTGTGTCCCTTGAGGTACCTGCTCTGTGTCCCTTGGGGTGGCTGCTCTGTGTCCCCTAGAATACCAGCTCTGTGTCCCCCAGGGTACCTGCTCTGTGTCCCTCAAGGTCCCTGCTCTGTGTCCCCCAGGGGTGGCTGCTCTGTGTCCCCCAGGGTGGCTGTCACCCACCGTGTCCTGGGGCAGCGGCAGGAGTGAATGCCCAGCAGTGAATGCCCAGGATTGCTGCTCTGCCTCTCCCAAGTGCGGGATGCAGAGAGCAGAGCTGGATAAGGGACTCTCATCCAAACCCTAAATTTCCCTGGGAAAGTCCAACACGAGCCCTCAGTGACTGGGAAAGGCTCTCGCTGTCCATGCAGGTGCATCTTGTCTCAATTTACTGCGAGCCCAAAAGCAGTAAATAACATCTGCAAATCATTTCTAACGCTCCTGCCAAAAACCAGGAGATAAAACCCGCTGTTGTCTGAGCCTGGCCAGCCGTGATTAATGCTGTACCTGCAGCAGCAGCCCCGGGGCTTTGGGGACACTGCGGTCCCCGCGGGTTTTGGGGTGGCAGGCGTTGAAGCTGCGGGGTTTGGCCGATGTGAAAGCCGTGTTTTGGATCTGCTCCGTGCTGCAGTTCGTTCTCGGGGCTGGTCGGGCTCCCATCGAGGCGATGGCATCGCTCCTGCTGATTTCACGGGGCCGGGGCGGGGCTGTGCGAGCCGCCAGGGATAACACTGTGATTTATGGCAGCAATCAGTTGCCACTAGGAGCTGGTTAGGAATTTTCCGATGAAACGGGGATTGCGTCAGAAACCGCTGAGTCATCTCAACTGTTTCATAAAAAAAAAAAAAAAAAAGAAAAAAAATACTATATTTAAAAAAAAATCTTTTGGCTTTGATGAACTTTTGGTGAAGCACAGACTGAGTGTGTCTCGCCTGCTGCCGGCTCCCCCAGATCAGCATTCCCAGCCTCTGGCATTGCTGCTCCAGCCTGGGACAGGGTGTGAGGTCACCCAGGGATGGCATCTCCTGGGGTGTCACCTCCTGCCCATCCCCGGGGCTGGGGGATGCTGGGGCTCACAGGGATCCAGGCTGCTCTGGCGTTTTCAATGTGAAATAATTCGATGCTTTTAAAACCTCTCGTGTTCAGACTTTTCCCTCCTGGTTGTTCCAAAACGGAAAGGGTTTTCTCCTGCATGTCTCGGGCTGGGATATTTTGAAATGCAGGAGTTGGGTGAACTCAAGTGCTAAATTTTCCCAGTGTCCTGGTCACAGCCAACCGATGGAAAATTGAAAGTTGCAAATCAACCTGGCTGGGTAAATTAGAACAGGCTGGCAGACATTTAGCCAAACAGAAAAGGAGACTTCATTTCCCATGTAATTTTTTTGGGACGGATTCTCTGTCACACAGACATCCCTGGGAGGACTGGGTCCAAATTAACAACGCTGGGATTTCTGCAGGATACAGGGAGCTGTGAGGGAAACTGTGCCCATGGTGGGGGGACAGTCGCCTCAGGGCCCTGCAGATGGGTGCTCCTGTCCTGTGGCAAATGGTGACAGGGCTGAATGCCACCCTCAAATCCAGGAACAGCCAAAGGGACAACCTGCAGTGCAGTGCCCTGCTGGGAGCGCTGGCTTTGCCCTGTGCAAATAGAGAAGGAGGAAAGGCTGGAGCTGAAACAAGTCTGGAGGGATGTAGGAATTGTTCAGGTGGGCTCCTCAGAGCTGCTGGGATGTGCTGAGGAATGCACAGGAATGAGTGTCACCACATTTGACACATACACACCTCAGAACACAGACAGATGGATCATATATCAAATATAGGTTGCACACACTGTGGCTGTGGCCTTCTTCCCCACGGGCTTTTCTCCCAGACACACAAACACAGATCAGACACGACCTGTGCATGGCTGTTGCTGAGCCAGGGGATTTGTCCCCACCAAAAATGGCTCTTGACGTGCCCCAAACCAATTTTCTAACCCCATTTTCTGCATGGCACAAAACTATTTCAAGCAGCAAGACTGGCACTGAGCTTGACCAAACAGCACCATAAGCACAGAACCTTGAGGATTTGGCTCATTTTCCAGCAGCAAGTGGAATTAAAAGCCTGGCAGATCATTCCCCTGGCCATCCCAGAGGCAGCACGTGGCTGCACAATGCCCGTGGAGGTACCGGGAGATTTTTGGTGATTTGATGATGGGGTGGGGGGGCAGCAGGTCGCGTTCTGGTGCCCGAGGAGGGAAGAGCAGCATCCTCCAGGGGATGGCCGGGGAGGGGGAAAAGCAGAGCATCCTCCAGGGTGGGGGGAAAACCGGAGCATCCTCCTGGGTGGGGG